ATCGAGATCCTGAAGTGTTTCTTTGAAGAATTGTAACAGGAGATAAAACANGTCAAGAGCAAAGGTCATGGTAAGTTTTTTGGGGAGATGCTCAAGGCATTTTGCTTGTTGATTTTCTGGGGGAGCCAAAGAATGATAACATCTGCTTATTTGGGAGAGTGTTTTGAGAAAGTCAGCCGAAGCTCTACAGAAAAACGCCCAGGAGAGCTTCACCAGAGAGTCCTTCTCCACCATGACGATGCTCCTGCTCATTCCTCTCATCAGACAAAGGCAATTTCATGAGAGTTTCCTAACGATGGGAAATCATTAGGCTTCCACTTTAGCTGAAAACCTCTAACAAGTCTTCCAGTATAGCTCAAAGAAATGAATAGGGAACTCAAGTCCAAGGGGGCTGAAACTGAATTATATAAATCTAGAAATCTAATCTCAAATGTGAAAGTCAGTAAAATTCAAAGGCCCCATGCACTTTGGGAGATGGGAACTACCCAATACTGTAATTTAGACAGAAGCTCTCTTCCCTTGGCTATGAACAAAGAACAGATCTAGGTACTACTAAAAACGCACATCACCGTAGAAGGCAAATGTAAATAAAAAGGAAACAAATTTTCAGTCCTGGCTGAATCAAGCCTCAGTCTTACTCTGCCTTTGGTCTTTTCAGTTATGGGTGAGAAAGTGGCTTTTTGGTTAAACCTACTGAGTTGGGTTTTCTGTCACAAATTATCTTTAGAGCTGGTGGCCTATACTGGTATTAAGTGACAGCAAGGGATCAAAGGCCCTACTTGGATTTTTGAATCATGCAACTTGAAGTGGCATGAACCTGAAATGTCTAGTTTCTGTGAAGGTGTGGTATAGAAAAATCAGTTGTGGGGCCTCCCTCCACTATAAGATATACCCTATGCCTGGTAAATTTTTTCAACCAAATTAACTTGAAATACCACTGAGGTATCTGAGAAGCATGAGATGGCTTCCAAACCCGTTCTTTGTCCTTAACTGCTTGTTCCACATCCTGAGAGATTCTTTTGGTTCCATTTCATTGTCCCTCCTTTGACAAATTGATGTTCATTGCAAAATCTAAAAAACAGAAGGAATCTCTCACGAAATCCTCACCAGAACAAGTCATGGTTTACATAAGGCATCCTTCACATGTTGTCTGGTGCATGCACGCAGTCACTGACACAGACACAGACACACACACACACACACACACACACACACACGCTTTTCATATGAATTTTTAAAGGCTGAAACTGGTTTTCCCTAAATCACATTATGTTCTCCTGTCATCGTTTCTATGCCATCATCTTAACATCTCCATGTTATTACAGGAATATATCAAATCTTATTCAAATTCTTGTTAAAAACTTGTCATATTCATTTTTTAAAACTCAGTAGTAGTATCTTTTCTGTTTTAAATTTTCTAATCACAAATTCCTACACTAAGATTTGCAGACCAAAGACATACACATTAAACATTTTAAAATATACCGAACGGGAGTTCTCCAAAAACCATGCATTTTTTACTGCTATCCATAGAGAAAAGTGTAGAATTATGTTAACCCTAAACCAATTATAAGTACATCTGAAAACAAAATGACTAAGTGTCAACAATTTTTGTTGTTTTTTCCCTTGGAGGTTGGGAGCAAGAACATTGGGTAGGGAACTTGATAGAATTAACGTCCTTCAAATTCAACATAGCCTTTCCTAAGAAATGTTGATGGAAGAAATGCTACAGCTCCTTGAAGACAATCACGTCAAAGCCCTGATGGAAATATGGAGAATAAAAACACCAATTATCAATTCGCAGTTCACTAAGACAAGTTTTGTCATCAGTAATTACTTCTGACGTTTGCTGAGAGTTACAGTAAAACCCTGCTCTAATACTGTAGTGGGGTCAAAAACTCAAGTGTTATGTAGTGTCCTGTTACTGCACAGTTAAATCATTTTTTGTCAGGCTGTACTGTCACAAAAATCACAAAGGATAGTTGAATATATATTGTAAACAAGCAATGGAATACTAGACAGAGTCTCACATAGCAAGAGGCCAACTTGAGAACTATTTTATAAATGAGCCAAAAATGGCCCCAAGTCATTTACTTTTCATAGCAGGCTGGGACCATTAACTCAAAAACCTGTTGGTGCCAACTCAAACCCTTATACATCCAGCTGTTTTAAATATAGTCCAAATAAGCATTTTTTAGCCATTTAGAGACTTCTCCTTTGCATATGAGGGTATTTCAAAAAGCTCATGGAAAGATTTGTGTTGTCTTTCAATCCTATTTTGCCATGAACTTTCTGAAGTACCTTCATACTCTAAAATTGCATTCAACATCTGCTAGCCATAGGTAAGACAAACCCTGGAGCTATAAGACCCCAACCTGCTGATGCCCACTGTACTGCTGAGCTACAGTACCTGGACATGGAAAGCCCCTCTCCAATTCCCATCTTTCTTGGGAATTCCCATGCCCTCTTCTTCTGGGTGGTGGCACTGTTATTTCTGGAAGGTCTCATGCTGTGAGAGAATTCCTCTCACATGCCAACCTGATAAAGCACAGCCCAAGTAAACTTTGTTGTGTGCTACTTCCACCTTGTAGTCATATCTTTCCTTGATCAGCCCTGAAATCCCTAAACTTACTACAAGAGAGAGGCTGGGAAGAGGGCAGGAACCACTTGCAATAGTGTAATGGCAAATTAATATTATGGGTTGCAGTATGAATTGTTTTCTGCATTTCAACAATTCACCTGAACTAATTTCATTATGACTATTTGCATGGTTCTTTTTTAAAAAATTTATCTTTTGAGTCAAAACATAACTGATTATACATCTTTATGGAGTTCAGAGTTGACTATCAGTATTTGTGTACAGTATATGTGATCAAATCAATATTATTAGCTTGTTCTTCATTAGCAAGAATCTCATTAACAAGATTCTTCTAAATAAATATTACATAAAACTTTTTAGATGAATTTAATATAACTTCCAATACATTTTTCTCTGTCTTATTCATTAAACAAACATGTACTGAGCATGCCCACAAAGCACTAAGCAGTGGTAAGACCGTGGAGCTGCAGCAGTAAATAGACCCTCTGCCCTCATGGAGCTTACATCTCAGTGGAAAGAGATTTTGAAATGTCCACCATTACATTTTTGTTACGCACTTGTTCATAGTCTCATTCCTCTTAAGGCCTCTCTCCTGAGTAATGTTTGATAACTGTCAAAGTTCTGACTGAAGACTTCCCTGCACCACTTATAAGGGCTCCACACTGCGAGGTCTCTGGACCACTGGGATATGCTGAGCTATGGTTGCAACACTGAATTTAGTNAAACTTACTACAAGAGAGAGGCTGGGAAGAGGGCAGGAACCACTTGCAATAGTGTAATGGCAAATTAATATTATGGGTTGCAGTATGGATTGTCTTCTGCATTTCAACAATTCACCTGACCTAACTTCATTATGACCATTTGCATGGTTCTTTTTTTTTCTTAATTTATCTTTTGAGTCAAAACATAACTGATTATACATCTTTATGGAGTTCAGAGTTGACTATCAGTATTTGTGTACAGTATGTGATGATCAAATCAATATTATTAGCTTGTTCTTCATTAGCAAGAATCTAACTAGCAAGATTCTTCTAAATAAATTTCACATAAAACTTTTTAGATAAATTTAATATAACTTCCAATACATTTTTCTCTGTCTTATTCATTAAACAAACATGTACTGAGCATGCCCACAAAGCACTAAGCAGTGGTAAGACCGTGGAGCAGCAGCAATAAATAGACCCTCTGCCCTCGTGGAGCTTACATCTCAGTGGAAAGAGATTTTGAAATGTCCACCATTACATTTTTGTTATGCACTTGCTCAGTCTCATTCCTCTTAAGGCCTCTCTCCTGAGTAATGTTTGATAAATGTCAAAGTTCTGACTGAAGACTTCCCTGCACCACTTATAAGGGTTCCTCACTGCGAGGTCTCTGGACCACTGGGATATGCTGAGCTATGGTTGCAACACTGAATTTAGTGAAACAAATGTTTTCTCTCCTACTTGACAAGGCAATTGAATAAATTCAGATCTCATTTAAGTCTTTTAAAGACATCACTTTACAAAACTGCTTTCCTGTGTGGCTCCTCTGATAAAGTTCTTACAACTCTCATCATTTCTTCAAAATTTGTCTTGGATAAATACGCTGAGTTAAAAAGTTTGATCTCTAACTGTAGCTTTTACTATATACCTCACAATTGTGAAGTTTACCTCCTGTGTGAACCCTCCACATACTGAAGTCGTGAAGACCATCTGAAAACCACACCACGCACACACTCGTGTTTGCACAGCTTCTCTCCAGAGTGGATACTGTGATGGAGATAGTGAAGTCGTGAAGACCATCTGAAAACCACACTACGCACACACTCGTGTTTGCACAGCTCCTCTCCAGAGTGGATACTGGGATGGAGATACTGAAGTCGTCAAGACCATCTGAAAACCACACTACGCACACACTCGTGTTTGCACAGCTCCTCTCCAGAGTGGATACTGGGATGGAGATACTGAAGTCGTCAAGACCATCTGAAAACCACACTACGCACACACTCGTGTTTGCACAGCTCCTCTCCAGAGTGGATACTGGGATGGAGATACTGAAGTCGTCAAGACCATCTGAAAACCACACTACGCACACACTCGTGTTTGCACAGCTCCTCTCCAGAGTGGATACTGGGATGGAGATACTGAAGTCGTCAAGACCATCTGAAAACCACACTACGCACACACTCGTGTTTGCACAGCTCCTCTCCAGAGTGGATACTGGGATGGAGATACTGAAGTCGTCAAGACCATCTGAAAACCACACTACGCACACACTCGTGTTTGCACAGCTCCTCTCCAGAGTGGATACTGGGATGGAGATACTGAAGTCGTCAAGACCATCTGAAAACCACACTACGCACACACTCGTGTTTGCACAGCTCCTCTCCAGAGTGGATACTGGGATGGAGATACTGAAGTCGTCAAGACCATCTGAAAACCACACTACGCACACACTCGTGTTTGCACAGCTCCTCTCCAGAGTGGATACTGTGATGGAGATACTGAAGTCGTGAAGACCATCTGGAAACCACACCACGCACACACTCACGTTTGCACAGCTCCTCTCCAGAGTGGATACTGTGATGGAGTTGAAGCCTTGGGGTGTAACTGAAGCACTTAGTGCAATTTCCCCCTCCAGTTGTTGCTCTTCTATGTGGACTCTCCTATCAATCCAATGAAGACTTTCTCACACTCCTCACATTTGAGTAGGTTTTTCCACAGTGTGGACCTTCTGATAGGCTTGAAGTTCTGAATTCTAACAAAACCTCTACCCACACTCCTAACATTTGAATGGCTTTTCTTCCCTATGGAAGGGAATTCTAACAAAACCTCTACCCACACTCCTAACATTTGAATGGCTTTTCTTCCCTATGGAAGGGAATTCTAACAAAACCTCTACCCACACTCCTAACATTTGAATGGCTTTTCTTCCCTCTTTGATAGGCCAGAATGGCCTGCCTGACGCCCTCTTCACATTCCTCACAATTTCAGGGTTTTACTCCCACGTGGGCTCTGTAATGAATTTTAAGATCTCTTATATGACTAAAGTGCTTTGCATACTTCCCACATTTGTATGGTTTCTCACCCTCATAGAACAACTGGTGAACTTGACTTTGTATACTCCAACTAAAAACCCTGCCCACACTCCTCACACTTGTAAGGTTTCTCTTGACTGTGGGCCTTCTGATGGATTGCAAAATAGGAACTTTGATGGAAGCTCTTTGCACTCACTTGACGTGTACGAGGATTCTCTTCAGTGTATACTACCACATGAACTTCAAAAAAGGAGTTCTTCCCTCTTTTGAAGTATGAGGGTCCTTAAAAAGTTCATGGAAAAATGGAATTAAACGGTAATATAAGTCTTTCCATGACTTTTTGAAGACCCCCTCATATCTTTTTTTTCTCCAGGGTGGACTCCTTAAGGGGCCTGAAGACTTGAAGACTGAAGCCCTTACCACACGTTTTATATGTATGGTTGCTCTCCAGTGCGGATTTTATGACAGGCTTCAAATCTGAATGAAACCCTTACCGTATCCCTCACATTTACGGGGTTTTTATCCCATGTGGACTCTCTGATGGATGTAGAGTTAAGCTACAAATAANATGGAGATACTGAAGTCGTGAAGACCATCTGGAAACCACACCACGCACACACTCGTGTTTGTACAGCTTCTCTCCAGAATGGATACTGTGATGGAGTTGAAGCCTTGGGGTGTAACTGAAGCACTTAGTGCAATTTCCCCCTTCCCTTGTTGCTCTTCTATGTGGACTCTCCTATCAATCCAATGAAGACTTTCTCACACTCCTCGCATTTGAGTAGGTTTTTCCACAGTGTGGACCTTCTGATAGGCTTGAAGTTCTGAATTCTAAAAGAACCTCTACCCACACTCCTAACATTTGAATGGCTTTTCTTCCCTATGGACTCTTTGATAGACCAGAATGGCCTGCCTGAAGCCCTTTTCACATTCCTCACAATTTCAGGGTTTTACTCCCAGGTGGACTCTGTTATGAATTTTAAGATCTCTTACATGACTAAAGTGCTTTGCATACTTCCCACATTTGTATGGTTTCTCACCATCATAGAACTGGTGAACTTGACTTTGTATACTCCAACTAAAAACCCTGCCCACACTCCTCACACTTGTAAGGTTTTTCTTGACTGTGGGCCTTCTGATGGATTGCAAAATAGGATCTTTGATGGAAGCTCTTTGAACTCACTTGACGTGTATGGGGATTCTCTTCAGTGTACACTACCAGAAGAACTTGAAAAAGGGAGTTCCTTCTGAAGTTCTTCCCTCTTTTGAAGTATGAGGGTACTTAAAAAGTTCATGGAAAAATTGAATTAAACGGTAATACAAATCTTTCCATGACTTTTTGAAGACCTCCTCATATCTTTTTTGTCTCCAGGGTGGACTCCTTAATGGGCCTGTAGACTTGAAGACTGAAGCCCTTACCACACATTTTATACGTATGGTTGCTCTCCAGTGCGGATTTTATGATGGGCTTCAAAGTGTGAAAGCTGAANCATTCCTCAAATTTGTATAGTTTCCCTCCTGCATGGACTTTACAGTAACTATGAAGTGCTGAATTGCAATGCATCATATGCATCACCTTTGAATGGCTTCTCCCCAGTGTGGATTCTCTAATGGTCCTGAAGGTGTGAGGTGGGAATAAAGACTCTCTTACACTCCTCACAAGTGTATGGCTTCTCTGCCTGTGTAGACTTTGCAATGAACTTTAAGTGCTAATCTACAACTGAAGCCTTTCTTACATCCCTGACATCTGTGTGGTTTCTCTACAGTGTGGGCTTTCTGAGTTTATAGACATGAGCTCTGAATGAAACCCTTACCACACTTACAGCATTTCTCCCTCATGTGAACACTCTGATAAATATTAAAAACTGAGCTATAACAGAAGGCTTTTCCATACTCACTACATGTATAAAGCTTCTTAAGTCTAATTGTGATAAAGATCAAAGTTGAAGACATCACTGAAGATTTTTTTACACTCATTACACTAGTAGTCCACTAGAATCCTGGGCTCATGGATTGGAAACTCCAGATTTTTGATATTATTAGAGCCATCTCTTTTGAGGTTCAAGATACAGTTTTCATCTTTAGAAATCTCAACTAACGGGATGGCCTATGGCTCACTCGGGAGAGTGCGGTGCTGATAACGCCAAGGCCATGGGTTTGGATCCCATATAGGGATGGCCGGTTTGCTCACTGGGTGAGCGTGGTGCTGACAACACCAAGTCAAGGGTTAAGATCCCCTTACCGGTCATCTTTAAAAAAAAAAAGAAAGAAATCTGAACTAGTGTTCCTGCCCACAATTGGCAGGGGGAATAACCTTGTTTGTGAAACTAAGAACAATTTATCATGAAGTCTTGACATCTGAATGAATCACTTGAAGCTTAATGCCAGATTTCCTAGCAGGAAAGTTCTTGATATGGCCCTGCTTCTTGAGCAGTGCTCATCTCACTTTGCATGCTGCCTCCTGGAAAGATAGAGAATTCAGAGATGTGGACAAGTGAGCACTTGTTTCAGAGATGCCAAGATTTTATGCTTAGGACACAGTATGACTTCAATAAACCCCAGGAAAGCTCAGCTTACCTTTTTCACCATCTAACATGTTCTGTGATTTATATGCCTCCAGAAACCAAGAAATAGTCCACGAGGCTCCAATCGACTGAGCATTAGTGAGACCCATTTAGGACCAAGTCTCATATGTGAACTACAAATTTGAAATCAGCTGGCTGCAAAGAAATAAAAAGACAATGGCTGAAAACAAAAACAAGAAATAACAAAAAAATCCTCACCTCAATTAAGAATGAAACTTCATAAATCTTGTCAATAGAACCCACTCCTTTTGGTAATGGAATTATAATGAGAAAAGTAGATGGAAATACCATATGTTTAGAGGTTGTGCTCCATCAGGAGGAATATTTTGAGGAAGAGTTTAAAAGGGTTTGTGACACAGACAAAGATCAAGTCACAGGGAAAATTCAGTGTTATGTATAAGTGTCAATTTTAGATTGAGAGAGTTTTGGGGTATAACATATACTCCCATCCATTGGGTTATTTTTCCTACTGAGTTTCATTAAAGTCCATGTTGATCTTAGATAATAAATTATGTAGTTGCATGAAGAAGTGG